GAATTTCATAAATGCAGCACATGTCTCTAGTTACCACCCATTATGATGCACCTTTTGCCTTGTTGTTCCCAAGAAAATAGATTGTGTCATTAGAGCAAAAGAAAGTCAAGGATGGTAAAATTTCCAAGTCCACAAGCTTTTCATGTTCTCAAGCTTCCATGGCTTAAGGGTGCCCTTGAGTTGTCTTCACAGTGTATGTGTATGGGAGTTCAAAGAGTTGTTAGAGGGGGGTGAGATGTCATATAATTTATGCATTCTCCAAAGTCTGTCAGAAAAACACGAAAGATACAGATACATATTCCAAATTGCAACGTATTCACAAAGAAAGAAGACCTCTAAGTACCAACAATGGTAGAAAAAAATACAGGTAAAAGAAACGATGGCTTAGCAATGAGGGAGGACTAGGGGTACCAGATAAAGTCAGAGGACAAAGGGGAGAGTGGCATCAAACTCAAAAAGACGTAGTCAAGTCAACCTCAATAGTTGGCACAATGCTCGCAATAAACTTCAGGAAGACAACCGAATAAAAATCGACCCTCATCCCCTCCACCTCCTCTTCCTCAGCCCCAGCTTGCGGCTGTTGAATGTCCTTGGCACTCCCAGATGACTTTCGGCTGAACAGCCATTTCTTCTCTTTCTTAGGGGTGTCCTTGCCTGACGAAGAAGAGGGTTTACCGCACTGCACAAGCTGTTCTTTGACGATGCTGTTGTTCATCCGTTCTATGACTTTCTTCATGACACTGGCGTGTTTGCATGGATGCACGGAGGCGGCTTGGAGAGAGGCAGAGTGGATGAAGGGTTCAATTGTTACTGTTTTCTGGGCGTGGTCTGCTGAGATGTCTTGGAAGATTTGGGAAGGGGTTAGTGGGGTGCAATTCTGTTGTTTTGGTCAGCTAATGTATTTAAAAAGATGGGGGAAAGGTGAAAGGCAAACCTCGTTGTAGCCGATCAGCCAGACTCGTGGGGTCTGGTAATACTTGTCGTATGTGATCATTACATCATACGTGCGGACTTGAAGAAGATTTCCCTTTGCGACTTCCACATTGGCACTACAAAGAGATCATCAGCACACTTCAAATTCCAGCAAACCAAACAACAATGTACCTTGCATCAACCACCCCAGCAGCAGCAGGTATAGCGGACGCCTTGGGTGCAGCTGTAGCCGTAGCCTCATCATCCCCTTCCTCCAAATCATCCTCCTCCATATCAGGGATATCATCTAAATCAGGCGTCTCCGGCCCAAAGCCCTCACCCCCTCCCCCACCCAATGACACGCCCCCCAACCCCCTCACAATCCTCTCCTCATCCTCATGGGGCCCATCCCCATCCAAATCAGGGATATCTGCAATCTCACCCACGTTTGTCGCAGAGTCCATTCAATGTGCCTGCCGACCCACGTGCGTCTCGACCCACTCGTCGCCGTCTGTGGAGGGGGAAGAGGAATCAGGAAAGGAGAGGAGACACTCGGCATCCTCATCTGCGTCTGTGTAGGCTAGGGAGGTGTGGCGTGCCAGAGGCAGGGGACGCCACGTGTTACTAGATATTGTTTGTTGGATGGGAGGATTTGGATGCGTCTCCTTTTTCCCCGTTCACAAGTCACTCAATCTTCGCATAGAAAGGAGGAGGAAAGAAGGAATGGAGGAAGAAGGGGCTTACCATGTCCATATAGGAAACTTGTACACCAAAAAGTCACCTGCAGCAACGAATTCCTCTGTTGTTCATTTCACAGTGAGCAAAAAGGAATGTGATGGACGATTGTGAAACGTACCGGGTGTAATACGGCCATGTTCTTTGAATTTGCTCTCTTTGAGAACCTAATAGATGGGCTTGACGGTGAGATGATGCCCAGATCGCGGATAATAAGGCTCACTGGGCTTAGGTACTCTCGCATGGCGAATAGGCTGGACTGGTTGATACTTATGATTAGGATGGTGGAGATGAACGACACAGTTGTGGGCTTACTTGGAGAGCTTGCATGGAGGTTGGATTGAGGGAGCCTGAGAGCTGTGGTTGACAATGATAACCCCAATCGTTCTGTAGAGAACCTCCTCGAACAGCTGCATGGTGCCGAAGTAGAGGCAGTTGAACCTCACCGAAATCTCGATGACAGACCCAATCACGCACAATATGGCACTTGTGACTTGTTCCTCATCATCCACTCCTCGTACAAACATACTTAGAACTTTGACACAAAGGTACTTACGTCTCTCGAATTTTGAGCTTCTTTCTTACAATATAAAATGGCCATCCTCAGATGCGCATGATGATCAAGTCCTGCTCAAGGCCTATTCACAGGCCACCACTCTAGAAACACACACGAGTGCTCGTACACGACCAGTACATCGGTGTAAACCAGAACTCGTTGAAGCACTATCTGACACCCCTCACATAAACCCACCATAATTGCATGGCTTTGACCCTCCTTTGCCCTCCCTTGCCCCTTCAAGCTTCAGATCCTAATCCTGCTGTTCAAGCTTACATGGCCGACCTTACCAGCGTCCCTGGGTGCAGAGCCTTCAGATGGAACCTCCAAAGTCTCCCTTCCGCCTCACTCCCCCATTCAACTTTGAATCCTTCATCTTCGACCTCAGCTGCCTCTCCCCCCACTTCAAATTCTATCAACCCTTCATCCCTACCCTCATTCAAACTTCTACGCCTCGGACAACATAAACTCTGCCTTGTCATTTCTGCATGATCGCCACGCGAAGTCCTTCATCCACTGTTAGAATCAATGTGTTCGATGCTGGGTGGAGCGCGGCTGAAGGTGTTGTGCTTGATTTTAGGTTTCCAGGGAGGAGGGATTTCCATGGGCCCGAATGACATGAGAGGAAGTTTGAGATCCAAAAAGGTTGGACTTGAGACACAACCTCTACTCCACACAATGCACACACAATCCCTCGGAATTGAGATTCACCATTTCGTTGTGCTCCTCAGGTCCAATCTCAGACAGCGGACGCGAACCAGAAGGACGGATGCTTATGCAGAGCATGTTCGTCATTGCAGGAGTATATTGTGCATGTCATGGGTATTGTTGTTCTTGGGATTCTTTGACGTCAACTTCATCTTCAAGGGCGCCATTCACTCCTGCTACTGTGGCATGGTCTTTTTTTTTTTTTTTTTTGGTGGAGCTTTATAGTATACAACAATTAACAGAGTTAGCCTTGTACACCAGCATGTTGAACAGGGAGTTTCACCCCGTTGGAGGGTATTGACGTGGTCCACCCTGAGGAAATGCCATTACGCATGCTCACTCTGGAGCAGTGTGGGACTCAGAGCGGTGATAGCCGAAACTATTGGTTACGTCCAGGAGGACGCATCACTCTCATACCCACTAAAACCCCAGCTTCCAAGACCCAATCTTCTGAGAGGCCTCTTTCGTCAAAGAGTACACCATCCCACGTCTTACGGACTATTTCGGGATCAATCGCTTTGCGGCCATAGCGTTTCCTGTCAGACATCAAGCAATCGAACTTGAGTCGCATATTAACCATTGCGAGCCAGGGGCCCTCGATTTCAGCCTTGGTGTGTAGCTTCTCTTGATCCCCTTCTCTCTCGATCCTCCACTCACACCTCAACCTCCAGATGAGGTATGCCGACTCCGAGATGACAATTGTGTATAATCTGCTGCGTCCTTTTTGAGGATCACCTTTTCAATTTTGGATGGTCGCAAGCCCACATCCAAGGATTTGTCTGAGGGTGGGGGCTGCAGGCAGGGAAATGCCCTTCCTAGCAAGTAGTGTGCGTACTAGGCACCACATCGATGCGCGTCATGCATACACTTCCACAGGTAAGCCCTTATGTTTTTAGCAATATCCCGGCTCTTTAGGGAAAGCCAAATTTTACGATCTGTGGGGAGGAAGCCACTAATATCCTTCACGGCATGTCTGGTCATATCCAACCTAATCATTGTCCCTCTTCTTTCTGGCTTCATTCTCTGTTCTATAATCCCTCTGCAGAGGAGTGCCTGTGTCATTACACTTAGCTTTGCACCTGCCACATCAAAATTTTCAGGTATGGTCAAGTCTAGGGTGGTTTCGTTTGGCTCTCTTACACCATCCTTCGCACATTTCAGGGCTTTTCTATTAGCCTCCTCCTCTTCCTCAACGTGACGGAAGCTTGTCTCCCCACCTCGGGAACGTAGTGCCGCGGCCACCTTCTTTAGGAGTTTTTTGTTTTGGACGCCAATCCATCTGCGGTCCTCCCATTTCTGTAGGTTTTTTATGAGCCCTGCAAATGTACTTTTGGGGCTGCACATTATTATAAGTTCCTCAGTCGTCTCCGTACGCTCCAGCGCTATCACCAGGGAGGCAATTTCTGCTGCTTGGGTTGTATAAATAGAGGGTGGTAGTTTAACAGAGAAGGTGCGACTGTCATCTGCTGGGAACCATCCTCCAGCTCCAGCTTGAGCATCCTCATTCCCACTACTTTCACAGATGCCTTCTATGTTAAGCTGTGTGATCACGCTTAGCTCTCCGGGGGGGTCGTCACGTACCACCTCAGTGTTGAGACCCTTTTTCAGATTTGTGAAAACTCAGAACCCCTCGGTAAGGGTTCCCTTTGTTGTGAGACTCGTATTAAAGGTAAAAAAGTCACCATTATCACTGTTAGCCTCAGCTGCATTTTGGGCATTACATTCTTGGAGCCTGGGGTCCCATTTGGGTGGGAGCTTGTCAAGAAGCTTTAGTGCTGCGTGCTGGCACCTGTGGGGCTTGGTGCATCCACCTATTCGCTCCATTCTGCATGTCTCGCATTTACATGAATCAATGGGCTGGTGGTCCCCTGGGCAGTCCCTGTAGACGAAGTGTTCAAGGTCTCCAACTTTTGTGATCTCATGGGTATGCCATAGACAGACTTCCTTTCTTCCATTGTTCCTAACATGTTCACTTTCGAGGCCTAGGTGGTGCCATACAGGTAGTTTCCTTTTAAGCATGGGATCAAGTACCATCAGGTTGAAAGCCACACTGAACTTGTTGGCGATCCTAATCATTTTGCGTAGGCTCTCAGGCAGGGTGGTCGTAGTCTTTGTCCTGTTCGTTGTCCAGCTCTGTAGAAATAGATTTGTCTTTGACAGATCATTGTGCACTCGGCTTGTTACAGTAATATTATCTGAGATGAGCACATCTGCTACAAAAGCCCATTTCGGGCGTGTCTGGTCTACTTTCAAGTAGCTTTTTACCTTCATCAGCTCAATAGCTTGGTTCCGTGCTGTCACGTCCAGTACCTTCTTACCTCCATCCTCGAGATTTCTGTGGAGCATTGGCAGGCCAACCATGGGGACTGCTCTGCCTTCTGACATAAAGTTGCGTATCCGCTTCGTAAATAGAACTTCTACTTCCTCAGGCATGCCCTGTACCCTTGCCAGGTATTGGGTGTAGCCTCCCATGACCATCCCAATGATTAGTCTCCTTCCATCTGGGGTTGGGCAGGTCCTTTCCCAGCGGCTTAGAGTGTTGTCCGTTTTCTCTAATATAGGCACCCACACATTTACTTGATCGACCTTGTTACCAACAAAGGCACCCAGCACCCTAACCGGTTCACCATCCTTAGCTATGTGGATTTGAGGGGGGATGGTAGGGTAGTTCTCATTCAACTTCCTATTGGCTACCACTCCTAGTCTGTACTCATGGGACCCCATCAGGATAATTTCAGTTTTCTGTACATTAAATTTTGCCCCTGATGCACAGCACCATTTCTGCAGGATGTTTTGCAGGTCAGAGAAGTTATCGTTTTCAGAGAGGCACACTGTTGTGACATCAGCGAAAAGGGTTGCAATATTTCGCTCAACAACTCCTTTAATATGGAGACCTTCGAGGTCAGACTCATGGAGCATTGTGGCAAGGGACTCAATTGCTATATTAAAAAGCAAGCACGATAGAGGATCACCTTGGCGGACACCACAGGTAATCTTGAAGGGGGAGCTTATTTCCCCATTAATGATGATGACTGTGTGCACATCGCAGTATAAGGAGCACACTGTGTTGATAAAGTGTTGAGGGAGCCCAAATTTCTCTAGGCTCCGAAAAAGGAAGTCATGCGAGATTTTATCATATGCTTTCTCCTGGTCCAGGCAGACTATTGCCCCATTTATTTCCTCCACTTCACACATGTTAATCATAAGCTTAACTAGTTCAGTCTGATCCTCGATTCTTCTGCCTTTCATGAAACCTGCTTGGTCTTTATGTATGATTCCTGGTACTGCGTTGGTAAGTTTGGTCGTGAGGGCTCTTGTGAAGACCTTGTAATCAGTGTTTAAGACTGTAATTGGGTGGTAGTTGGCTATTTTACTGTGATCACTTTTCTTGTATATCGGGCACATCCATCCCTTGGAGAAGTTTGTCCCAGTAACCATTCCTTGTTCCTCAACATCATTGTACAGAGTTGTGAGCACCTTGATAATATCAAAGGTTTGTTGTCCTTGTTTTTCATTGTAGTCATGCTGTTCCACCAGCTTCTTCCAAAGTTCATGGGGTATTCCATCCATTCCAGTGGCTTTCCCATTGGGTAGGTCTCTAATTGCCTTCCTTACCTCTCTTCAACTGTCAGCTTCTCTGTTAGCTTTATTTTTTCACTAACGGGTATTGATACATTAACATTCCTGAGTACCTCATCAATCTCCATGTCTCTGGTCAGCTGGTCAGCTACCTCTACTGCCTCTTGGAGGCTCTCATGGTAATTCCTCGCTATTTCAGCCATCTTGTCTGACCGTTTTTCATAGGAGGGTGGTTCAGTCTGTGGTACTTTCAGAGAGTATAGGATGTCTTGTGGCTTTTGATCTTTTCCAGACCTGCACCATGTTTTGCCCATGGTTTCAGCTTCCAGGCAGTATTTCGCTGCAGTCCTGTCACGTGCCTTGGTATGCCTCTGCTTTTCCAGGTTTTGTATCTCTTCATCTAGAATGCCAGCTGACACCTGCTTCTCAACTAGGTTCAAGTTTTCATCATTTAATATAGTAGCCAGTGTTTTCTCCTTTTTACTTATCAGCCTATCTAGTATAGGGGTGGTTGTCCTCGCATATTCATGTATGTACTGCAGTATGTTTTTCTTGAATTTTTGATAAAGGACCTGTGGGTTATTATCCTCTGTACGCTGAAGCCTGCACCTTTCGATATTATCCACAAGCTCCATACCAAGTTCTTTAATTCTCTTCATTACCTTACTGTCTTGCAGGAGAAAGAGTGGGACTGACCAACGGCCTTGCCCAATGTAGGGAGCTCCTGGGTTTGAGAAGTTCACAGACACCAGATTGTGGTCTGTGGACAGAGCAGTCTTTTTGATAACCCATTCTCTACTACATGTCAGGATTTCTTCAGTGACATATATTCAGTCAACTCTTGACCTCCTACCCAATCTATCAGACCATGAGTAAGCCATCTTATTTTGGTTTTCCTGTCTCCACCCATCCATTAGCCTAAGCTCTGACTTAAATTCTTCTAGGGCCCCAGCAGCTGTGGGGGCATTCTGCTTCAGGGGTAGGTGATCTATGTCAGCCTCAACACAGTTGAAGTCTCCAAGGAGGACATCCGGCTTTGGGTATTCACTTGCAAGCCACTTTTCTTTTAGCAATCTCCAGAAGTCAGCATTTTCTGATTCACAGTTCGGTGCGTATATTGCCATGACATTAATTATGGACTCTTTATGCCAGGGTACTGAGACCGGGATAGCCCTGCCAGGCACTAGCACATGCACCACTGCCTCTTTCCAAGCCATGTAGCTTTTATTTAGCACTATTGCTACACCCATCGCATTTGGATGCTCAGGCACACTACTATTTATAATGTGCAGACACTGGTGAAATTGTGCATGGAGGCTGTCAATTGTATCTTCCCTGAGGTGGGTTTCCTGCACAGCAAGAATTCCAATTTTGTTGTTTCGTAACATTTGGTTGACATGTTGCCACTTTTCTCTTGTTTGCACTGTCCCACCACCATTAATATTTAGGGAAGCTATAGTAATATTGGCTCTCAAGGTTTTGCTCCCTTGAGTTACCACACGCTGAGGCCGAGGGCCATGTCTCTCAGTGTGTTGCACTTGGCCTGCAGTTCTTAGCACCGCCACCAGGCGCCTACCACTCTGCTGAGGGGTGGTTACTGCCTGTATGGCATTTGGCGGCACTCTTGGGGCCATCTGTCTGGCCTCTACACTTTGCGTGTGTTGTGCATCCCTGGCATGATGCCCCACTCCCCCAGAGCTCGCCTGGTTGAGAGGGGGTGGCAGCTGACTTGCCATGTTCTGCAAAGACTGGGAGTTATCAGGATGTCCTTCATTGTCAACTCTTCTAGGCCTCCAATCTTGAGTCTGATCATCTGCCCTCTCAGTAGTGAACTCCAGCCGTCCCTGCCCTGATGTAACAGTTTGATGTCTGTCTCCGTAATCCCGGGAGCCTTCATTAAGGGTGTGACCGACAGACAGGTCAGCACCCCTTCGGACTCGGGGGATGCTTAGCCGTAAACCATCTGTGTATACCAAGGGTGAAGTGAAATGATTTGAGTTTTGAGGGGTAGTTGGTAGATGTTACCTGAGTCCCCCAACTAAGGACTGGGCCAGGACATGATTAATTTGAACCCAGCACTCTGACTGGATGGACTGTGCTGAAAGATACTAGTCTACCTCCCTAGTCTGGATCGTGGAGGCGACGGTCACTTCCAGCTTAAGCCCAGTACTTTACCCTCCCCGGGTTATTCCATATGGAATGGATGGAATGGGGGGTGGACTGCACAAATTCCAGATGGATTCCATGGAATGGGGGATGGATTCCATGGAATGGCTGATAGATTCCATACTCTATTCTATATGTTCTATACCATTTTAAGGGTGGAATCCATCTGGAATCCACATGGAATGACTTTATGAAATAATTCTAAGTTGAGCAGGAAAAATTGAAATGTATTAAATAGACTACACAATTTATTTTTACTATTCTCAATATTTAAGGGAGGGGGGAAGACAGGGGGAAGTGATGGAGGGGGGAGGATGTAGTAGAGAGTGAGGGGGGAGGGAGGGGGGAGGAGTGATGGAGGAGAGAGGGAGTGGTGAAGGGAGGGAGTGGTGAAGGGTGAGGTGGGAATGGATGGAGGGGGGAGCAATGGGAGGGGGAGCAATGGAGGGAGGGGGAGAAATGGGAGGGGGAGCAACAGAGGGAGGGAGGGGGGATGATGGAAGGGTGGTGGTGAGGAATGATGGAGGGAGGGGGAGCTCACCTGGGCTTGTCGTTGCCCATTTCCATTGACACGAGCGGAATCCTCTGTGCGTGGGCGCGCGTTGTTGTCGGTCATGGGTGGTGGGCTGTATTGGCATCTGTGGGGGTGGGTTGCCGTTTCGTTTGTCTTCGCGTTGGCGTTTGCATTGCACTCATGGGTGTTTGTTGTCATGCATGGGTGTTTGTTGTCATGCATGGGTGTTTGTTGTCGTGTCATGGGCGCTCATGGGCAGTCATTGTTGTGGGCGGGCATTCGTGGCCAGTGGGGTCGTGTTGTTGTCTTCATCTGCTGGGCGTTCATTTTCATTCATGTGCAGTCGTCTCGTGGGCGTTCATGGGCGCTGCGGCTCGTTTGGGTGGGTGTACGTCGTTTGTAGGTGGGCGGGCTCGTCTGTTGTCGTGTCATGGGTGTTTGGGGTCCTTCGGAGTCGTTTGTGGGCGGTGGGGGTTGTGCAGGGCGGTGTGCATCGTTCATGGGTGGGCGGGCTCGTTGGTTGTCGTGTCGTGGGTGTTCGGTGTCGTGTCTGGGCGCTTGTTTCTTTTCGTGGGCGCTCATGGGCAGTGGGGGTCGTGTGGGGCGGTGTGCGTCGTTTGTGGGTGGGCGGGCTCGTTGGTTGTCGTGTCCGTTCGTCGTTTGGTTGCCACGTCGCTGACTGCGACGTGGCACCTGGTTTGTTGTTGTCAAAAGGTGGACTGGGAGGGGTTACCCAGTCCACTTACTGGGCTGCAGTTGAGGCGGAACGTCCATTGACGTTCTGCGTTGTTGTCATCGCCTCCCATCCATGTGACGTGGCGTTGCCACGTTGTGTGGCTCTTGTAATGGCAGGGTCGTTGTTGACAATGTTGCGTGTCATCGTGCATCGTCAGCATGGTCGTCGTCGTCAGTGTGGTCGTTGTTGTTGTTGTTGATATCGATGTCACAGGCGGTTGTGGCTTGAGACAGTGGGGTGGATGGTGATGGTGATGGTGGAAGGAAGAAACGACGTGGCATTGGCAACACGTTGTGTCACGTTTGAGACACCATGTGACAAAAGGCAGTATATACAGTTGAGTGCAAAAAGAATGAAGGTTGGTTCATTTTTCTGGTTCTTTCTAAGAATCTATTGTACCTCAAATGTATTTGTGTATTCTTTTACATCATGTAGTTGTGTTACACTTCCCTTGGTATGGACTAATTTCAGTGAAAGCTGGAGCCTTGAAAAGGTTTTTATTCTGGAGGCCATTTTTGGCATCTGAAAAAAAAAAAATATGCGCTAACTGGGGAGGTTGCCAGAACATACCTCTGGTCAACCTGAATGAGCCTATCAAAGAATCAGTCAAAAATACTGAGCAGTTAGGTCTGTAGAGGCTTTGGAAAATGGCTTGTTTTGTCTAAAACAGGCCAAAAATGATCAAAATAGCACAAAATGACCATTTTCTGGAGGCTCTACAAGCATAACCACTCAGTATTTTTAACTAATTCTTTGATAGGCTCATTCAGGTTGACCAGAGGTATGTTCTGGCAACCTCCCCAGTTAGCGCATATTTTTTTTTTCAGATGCCAAAAATGGCCTCCAGAATAAAAACCTTCTCAAGGCTCCAGCTTTCACTGAAATTAGTCCATACCAAGGGAAGTGTAACACAACTACATGATGTAAAAGAATACACAAATACATTTGAGGTACAATAGATTCTTAGAAAGAACCAGAAAAATGAACCAACCTTCATTCTTTTTGCACTCAACTGTACATACCTTTACTTTACACTATAATAATGCCTTTGTGGCTCAGTTGGTTTGAGCACCGCTAATATTGACGAGGTCAAGAGTTCAATTCCTGTAGATGTAAAATTTCTATTTTTACTTAAATATAGTAAGGACACTATAAATACTGTATTCTAATGGTATAATGGTCATCCATGGAATCCATGTGGACTGCTCCATGGAATCCAAGGTGGATATGCCTGCATTCCATGTGGAATCCAATGGAATCCATATGGAGTGGTGTTGGAGTCCATATGGAATTAATCATTCCATGACCATTCCATGGTCATTCCATGTGGAATCCATGAGGTCTATGGAATAAGAAAATGGCTGGGTCCTCAGCCAACATGGATTCCACATGGATTCCATATGGAATAACCTGGGGAAGGTAAAGACCTCAGCCATCCAGACATTGACTGGGAACACATGTATTCATAGGGAAGTGCATGGACATTTATTTACAGCAGCAGCACACAAGTAGAGTCCACGTTCTTAGAGTATATGGGTCACATTTATACTAGAAGGCTCCACGGCCATGTCTCCCCCTATTAGAGAAACTCCCCCTTGCTCCTCGTCCATTGTGTCCTCCACATGATCCTCCAGATGCACTCGCAGGGGTACTGTTTGTATTGACCTCATCTGTGAAGGCAGGACTAGCCGGCCAACCAATGATGGTGGTGAAGGGGCAGAGTGAGCCAGGGTGGTCGCGACCTTTGCAGGTACCACAGTAGAAGGCCCTACGAGAGTATCCGGCACCTTGGAAGCATGCAAACTTGAGTGCCTTTAGGTTGAGAATCCAGGTCTTCAGCCTGTCGGGTACTTCAGTTGGCGGCATAATGTATAGGTTGAAAATGACAACAGAGATATTCTCTTCCATCACTGAGCAGCTACGGACAGCTATCGAGTTCAGGACGTGATCGACATAGTCATCCGGGTGGACATCAAGGAGATTGTCTGCATTGTTGGTAATGAAGGTTGTGGCAGTAGCGTTGTTGCTGATAGCTTCACGGACGGCTTCTGCAACTATTGCATCACTGGCATCCGAGCATGCTAGGGGAAATCCGGTGATAGCTATAGCAAAGTTGCTAGCTTCAGGGAACATGGAGGTTACAAAGAGAGTGATAGACGGAGTTGGCCAGCAGGATCTGGAGTTGAGTGCGTCAATTAGGTCATCAGTGCCACTGATGAAGAAAGGGAAGACTGGTCTATAGGCAACGTCATTCTTTTTGAACAGCTCAGGGGGGCCGATTGTAGGGGCAGGGAAGCTTGGGAAGACAGCACTGAAGAAGGAGGCTATGGCGTTGACATGTGTGGAGAGGTTGGTGGTGAAACTGTCATTTGCAATATATACCAGGGCACTAGCCCTGCCCCATGTCATCCAACGTTCAATTGTTTGTTTGTGAACAAAGGATAGAAGGCCTTGCTCAAGGCCTTGAACAGCAGGGAAGCCTCCATGTGGTGGGGGGAGCACTCGTGCATTGTCAGGGGGAATGTAGGCGTGGTTGACATGGTTGTGAATGTTAGGGACAGCAGGATCGATGAGCATTCCTTGGATGACAGCTTCTTCGAGGTCAAGAGTAAGGTGGACTTGGGCGGCCACCGAGCCAGCGTCTGTCTGTGGGGTCCCGGCGGCTGCAGGTGAAGAAGGTGGGGTTGACAAGGGCACGACGGTGGCAGACCTGGTCATAAGGGACCCTCGCATTCGTGGCGTGGATGTTGGGGCAGGGGAAGCTGGGGCCATAACCGGGTGCCCAGTCACTGAAGGGGTGTGCTTGGAGGGCATGTCCATGGGCGGGTGGTCGCCAACGAGCCCGTACGGCCGCTTGTCGCCCACGCTCGGCTCCACGTAGGTATCTACTGCAGGCATGTTTCGCAACTTTTTAAATTGTAAGTTATGCAGTAGGGTTTTCCAGGTTTGGGGGGTGTAACCAACCTGATTGTCCAGTTCAGGCTGAGCAGCATGTAGGGCGTGCTCCAGGGGGGCAGCGGCTGTGGTACCGGACACCATGTCAGCAAAGGTCGGTGGTGCATGGATAGACGCAGAGACACCCTGGGCGTCTTCATCTAAATCCATGTTGTCGGTTAGGACGGCGAACTTATTGTTAGAGGCAGGGGTTGGGGTGGGCATGGTTGGAATAGGCGTGCAGAGGTGGTTTGCAGGTCAATAAGGGAGTGGGGACGAGTAGGATCTTGACGTAGGCTTATATGGTCAGGTGGATGCTTGTGATCGCCATTCCCGTAACCATCACATTAATGTCGGTCCTAATGCACAGGTATCAGAGCGGGCCCGTGGTGATAGGTGTAATTCACGGCTGCAGAAGGGGAGGATGCTGCTGGTGGACGGGTCAAGCATGTGGGGGTGCCATTTCAGCTCTAGTGTGAGCGCCAGGTGATAAATTGTGGACCCAATGCCAGGTTACAAATGTATTAGCCACTGCCGGACGTCAGGAGTGAACCTAGGCACAGTGACGAGTATCAGTGGGACATATTGACTTTTGTGTGGGATTACAAAGGGACATACCTTGTGGGGGGTAGGAATTACGACAACGGCTTAATGCTGCATGTGGGCTTTGCACGAAATACAAGCAAACAGGGGTTCCAGGCATGGCAAGTGGGCTTTGGCAGCCAAGAAAGCCGCACGTTAAGGGGTCGCTAGCAGCAGGGACAATGTGGTTGGAGAGAGGGTTGTGTGATGGGCGCATTTGTACAGCATCTGGGAGTGGGCGGTGAGGCGGAGCACCGTATGCACAAAGGGGCTTGGCAAGACCAGAGTGCCTGGCGCGATGCCCAGTGCTCCGCTAGATGGCTGTGGGTACTACGGAAAGTGGGGCACATACTATGGCAGCAGGTAGGGGGGGCAGGGACTTGTTGGCGGATGATGCAGCTGATCAGGAGAGGGCCTATGCACACGGAGAAGCTCGGTGAGCCAGCAGGGCCTGAAATGACTGCCAGTGCCCAGCTACATGAGGTTTGGGAGGAGGCGGCATGTTTGGCAACACCATTGTTGCGTCTGTTTGCAGTTGTCGTGTTCCACAGCTGTGCTTGACCTAGTTTTGCATTTCATGTCAAATTGTGTCTAATGGTCATATATAAATCATTGTGGCTCATGGCTTTGACTGGATACTTGTAGAGTCTGCAATGGTTACACACCTGGTAGTGTTTCCCAGTTCCTGTGGAGGGTGTAGGTGACTGTCTGGCCCAGCGAGTAGTATACAGATATGTCTGATGTAATTTGGAGCCACAGGCAAGAAGCCTTTTGGCACAGGGTGTGAATGTCTGGGAGAGGATGTTTATGCCATCCCAGACAGCCAGACATGTCGAACTTATACCACATATTTTCGAAAAGTTCTTAGGCAGTTAACACACAATGGGCAAAACACAGGGTGTATGAGTCTCAGTGTGTTATAAATTTATGGTGTGTATATCAGGAGATAAGGGAGTGGGCAACTGGAGTTAACAGGTATGGACAACATGACTAAGTTGGCATATTGGAGCTGGGGGTAAGTGGACTGGGTACTGGGGCAGTAGCCATAAAAGAATGTAGGTGGCAGCAACAGTTGGCTGGAGGAACAGGGGCAAAGTGAGGGGGGGGTAGTATGGACAGTGGATTAGAGGTAGACCTCAGCGAAACAAATTCAGGAGGCTCAGAGGGTGAAATCAGCTGGAGGAGTGACCTTCACAGTGAAAATAATAATAAGAGGATGTTATGGCAGGTGAACAGGTACAACATACCATTTCATGAGAGAGCTCAGTAGCATCAGGAGCTTTGGAGGCAGGAGGCAAAGATATTCCATAACACCCGTTGCCATGGGAGCTTTGCGACCACCATGTCTACCACTTCGGCTGGGAAGGAGACCAGAAAGGAGGCATGTTCCCAGACTCTCTCCTTCCACTTTGCACCAGCACAGTCATAAAAGGTGGCGACCTCCACAATGCCCTGCCCATGCCTAACACTCACACACCTTACAACCTCCCAATACATTCCATCACTGACTGGGTACACACAGCCAGTCTCAATCCAGGTGCCAGCAACAATATGAGCTGCATCAGGTAGGTTATCACACCACAACAGGGTCTTGTTGTGCAGGACTTTAGGCACCCCAGTATAATCATCCTCAATCCGGAGGCGCACAAAGAATGCATTTGGTATGCCAGGCAGGTATTGGCTAGAATAGAATGGGCCAGACACATATATGTCTCCTGAGGCATGGGTGCTGGGGCTGGAGTGTATCTGGCTAGACGGGCGAGTGCCATCAAGTGACGAAGAGGACTCTTGGGGAGGCTCACAGACGAAGGAGAGAGTAGAGGACCTTTCAAGCTCCTCAAGAAGTGTAGCAGCATCTAGGGATGCACGGACCATAGTAGGAGGTGGTTGGCATATGGTTACTGAGAAGAGAATCTTGGGCATGGGTGTGGGTTGGTGCTTTAAAATATATGAATATGAACCTGGTTTGCACGGGTCTAATATTGCGTCTCCTAAGGGCTATGATCAGAAAATGGACTGACAGTTCGGAGGGTGAGGCAGTTATATACACTACCCTTTTTGGCCTGGCCTTTGGGGTTTGCCAGCCGCCCACCACCATATGACTGCAGCTTTGGTTTGCAGGGCAGCAGTTCAGCAGGGGTAGGATAGAGGCCACTACTACAATACCATAGGTTTTTAGCCCTACACAGCAAACAGGTGCATTTGGAGTACAGACCAGTACTTTACAGTGCCCCACCTATTCCTGCAGGATTCCTGCAGGAATGGATCATTCCAGTGAT